AAAACTTCATGTCGATATCCATTTTTACCACATACCTTAGCATGCAAATGTTTGGTTGAAGTGGCCTGAGAGAATTACAACACACAGAGAGAAGAAGTTAACTCCACACTTTATTGTTAACCAAGCACTGTGTAGTCCTGTGGTAAAGTCAATCTTTTTTGTGTTCTAATCAGTGAAAATGTCTCTAGCTGGCTTCCAAATTTTTATTAGTAATATTAAATTGAACCTTTACTTCATTATCTTTCTGCAATTCAAGGTATTCTGTGGGGGGATAATAGTCCATAAGCCCGAGGCTGATGAAGAATTTATAATTTGGATAAGAGCAATGATACAGAGAATGCGGGAGAGTTATAAAGAGGATGAAACGGACGGACTAGGATGGATGTACCAACAGTGGGTAAGTGATGGAAATTATCCAATTTATAATTAAAAGTGTTGTTGTACAAAGTACAGAGTGAAACAAACATCAACTGCAATTCTTCTGATCCCTGCAATACATATATTATTCTGCAATGTTGCAAGATTAAGAGTAGTGTCTTTAAAAACATTTTTTATCATAACTTTAAAATGCCACAAAGGATGGACTGATGGGTCAAATATAATTTAAGTTCTACAGGGAAAATACATCCATAGAATTAAACAACATATTTATTTGAAATAACTGTGGGTAGTTTTTGTCACCTGACTTTAACCTCTAACCGTGTTGTTGATGGTAAAAGACTGATTTTATTGGAGCCACTGAGAGGGAGACGGCCGAGTCTCTGGAGATTGAAGAACTCAAGGCCAAGATACAAGAAATGACGATCTTCCACCAGAAGCAGACGGATATATTTAAGGAAACAACTGACTCGCTTAAAGAAACAGTCAGAAAAACCATAATATACTTCAACTGTCATACAAAAAAGATGGAGACAGAAATCAAAGTTTACAAAGAACTGCTAGAGATTATGGAGAAAAGGTAACGTTTCACAAGAGTGAACACATATTTTGAATGTCCTTTGAAATGTTTCACAGCTCTCCTTGGTGTTGTCTTTTTTAGACTTGAGCAGTGTGGGGGAAGCCTACCCATCTGTGGTTTGCCAGGTAAATTTCCTGAAAACACAAACACAACATTGTAATAAGTGCCTGACCCCACGGACTACCGAATAAGTTCATAAACTCTTTGACAAGACAGTTCTTCAATAGGCCCAGTAACAGGAACCCAGGAACCCTACACTAATTTTCTATTGTGTGATGATCTATTTCGCTTGTTGGGTCATCCAACTTTTCACATATCAATACTTAAGATCCTGTCACACCTTGACATTTTTGCCAGGGTATGCCGAGCTACGAAAAATCTGGCAAAAACGCTGGCATACGTTGGATAAGTTAAGGGTACGATTTATGAGCTGAAGTTTGCTGACACACATCGACATACGGCAAGTACGTCAAGAAATGCTCAAAATTTCTTGATGTATGACAGATGGGTGCTATTACTTTAATAAGCAATTGGAGTTACCATGGCGATGTAATTAGCTAAAAACAATGTATAAAATCCCATAGGAATGAAAGGTGAAGGGGAGAAAGAAGATTAAAAGACTATTTTTGAGCATACGCTGTGTGGTCATACGTTCACCTAGAAATACAGTTTAAAGCTCCGGTTGTAGATAAATCTTACATCTTTCAAAATCTTAAAATAGTATGTAGATAACTCCTACTGTTTTTCTAAAATCAGCCTTCAAGCAACACAAAGTTTGTGGGAAAATCAGACTCTTAGAGGGGAAGACTGCATTTTCTGGAGTGGAAGAGAGACTTTTTTTTTAAAGCATGTAAGATTTGAAATCGCTCACACTGCTGCATATTTTGTGCCAGAGTCACTGTTTTTGGTCAGTTTGTAGATCTAAGCCTCTGCTTTCACAC